AAATATCAGGAGTTTCTGTGTGCTGCGTGCCCAGCTGCTCCTCAGTGATACTCCCTCACATGACCATAAACACAGTCCAAACTGGGAAATTGATGGAGCCCTTCCTCTGACTCACCGCTTTGTGCAGGTATTCTTTTTCTCCTCTCCCCCTCCCCGCTCCTCCCCCTCCCCCTCCTCCTCCTTAAGGAGGCGTTGTGAAAATTCAAGTGTCCGTCCTCACAGTCAGGACACCGAGCTGTTGTCCACCAGAAAGCAGTCCCTGTGTTGCACATCAGCACACAATGGCCTGTGGTCTGGCAGCAACGACTGGTCTGCTCTTCACCATTGTTTAGTCACTTTGAGACTTTTTATGTAAATAGATCGGTGTTTCTAGACAATGTTCAGCAGGTAGGACTGAATGTCAAGGAAGCAAGAAGATGAAGCAGTGTCTTAAGTGGCAGGAACTGGGCTTAGAGAAGAGGTGCTGGGCATTTTAGCCAAGTATTATAACCATATTCTTGAGCAGTCTGCTGTCTCTGGTTTTAAGTGGCAAAGAGAAACTGTAGATTTTGGGGAGGTAAACTCGGTCAGCGGTATATAGGAAAGCCTCGAAGGGAATAAATTAAAAACCAAGCCCACTGCCATTGAGTTGATTGACTCATAGCGACCTTACGGGACAGAGGAAAACTGCCCCTGTGGGTTCACTTCCCAGGCTCGAATCTACAGGAGCAGAAAGCCCCGGCTTGTGGAGCCGAGCTGCAGACCTCGTGGCTAACAGCCCAACAGAAAACTCTCCACGCCAACCAAGATCCCCAGAGAAGTGGCGCCATGGGCGAGTGGGGAGCAGGCCTCGGAGGATGGCAGGGCTGTGTGAAGGGAGGGCTGTCTGTTGAGACATTTCTGAAGAGATGAGCATCACCTAGATGCTGAAGCAGGGCTCCATGGGGTTCTGGTTTTGGAAAGGTAGGTAGTAAGGCAATTGAAAAGGAAACATTTTGGGGGGAAAGCTGATTGGGGTGGGAGAGGTGAACAGATAGGAAAGGATAGAAAGAGTGGTTATAAAACCCAGACAGATGTGTGTGCTTATGGTAGCGGTTGGCCAGGCCAGCAGATGACGCCGACCGTGGGTGAGCATCGGGCAGAATTTAGGGGTGACTGCTGCGATATGAGTGGTGCACGCTGGGTTCTGATGCAGGATGGGGCTCACTTGTTCAACACCTCACCTTTAGAGATCTAGACCCAGCTAAACCACCCACATTCTTTCATTTGTTGCTGCAGGCGTAGTGCTGTGGAAGGACCAGGCATTAAAAGCACATCACACGTAGATGATTCCCTTTTCTTCTCATGAAACAGAACCAATAGAAAGCTTGGTTGGCGCCAACCCTGCGCAAGCGGTGCTCTTCAAGCTAAGCGACTTTGAGATTTGATTAGTTAGGCCAAATGCACTTTTCATTGCCAGGAACGATCAAAAGAAAACGGTAATAGCTATTCAGGTCTAAAAGTATAAAATACTTAAGTCATCATAGAACTACGTAATGACTCCCCTCAAGGGGAGTTGTCGTAGAAGCTAGAGCTCTGAAATGTCTCTCCAGACTTGGCGTGTAGGTAGCTGTACACGCCTGTGTCTCTCCAGAGGCACCAGATTCCTGAAGGCCATCTGAAAGCTTTGCACTCTCACCAGCCTGGGCTGAGAGCACCAGGCTTTGTCCCTCTTCTACTACCTGTGAGAGAACATACAGATGTCCAACTTCTCACCCCCCCCCCCCCAATTTCTCACTTTCATTCGGTATATAGAATAGAAAGTTTATTTTGAACAGGAAAAAGATCTCTTTTTTTTCTTCCATTGATAACTGTGTAATTTGAGACCAATGACCAGTGTTTTAATTCCCCATAAAATTTTCTGGAAAAGAAAATTCTGGCTAAAACAATTTTTAACACCCCCCCCCCCAAAAACAAAACACACCCCATGCTCTCCACCAAGGGGACTAGAGAACAAATTCTGAAAGAATCTAGAAATCTTTTTTTTTTTTTTTTAAGTTATCTTTGGCGATGCTTTTCTCCTGGCTATGGGCGACACTGTGTGGCAATGAGCTACAGGAGACTAGCCAGTGGGCAAGGACTACTGGACCTTGCTTGGTTGGGTGGCCCACTGTCACTGTCTTGGCAGTCTTGGATGTCTCCCTACGAGCCGGGCTCACAGCCCTGACCAGTGTGGCCAGGAGTCCTGGCTGCCACACCACACTTGAGAGCAGATGTGAAGCAAAGCAATTGCTACTACGTTTGCAGGTGGCAGACTCCTGGAAGGGGTCTTTTGGGAACAGAGCAAAAGACATGTTACAGGGAGCGGGAGGGAGGAGAAAAACGAGGAGCTGATGCCAGGGCTTAAGTGGAGAGCAAATGTTTTGAGAATGATGAGGGCAATGAATATGCTTTACACATGTGCTTTACACAATTGTTGCATGTATGGATTGTGATAGTTGTATGAGCCCCCAATAAAATGGAAAAAGCAAAAAGACATGTAAGAACAGCTGTTTTCCAAGCTGTCTTAGACTAGGCAGAAGGAAAAACAAGCAATTTATTACAGTGACATACCTTTTCCTCCCAGAGGCAAAAACACCTGCCTTTCTACCTCCTTCAGGAATGGACATACTCCTACCTGCAGTCTTCTTTATTGAAGTCAGTTATCTCTTGTTGTATGACAGAACTCCGTGGCGGCACCAGGCTGGACCAGCTCTTTCATGTTGATGGAAGCTTTTCTGCAAGTCCAAAGTGCCAGGAGCCACGGAGCCGATGCTGACTCTTACCCACTTGCCACGGAGCCGATGCTGACTCTTAGCCACCCCTCGGGGCAGGGAGAACTGCCCTTGCGGCTTTCTGAGATTGTAACTTTCCAGGAGTAGAAAGCCCTGTTTTGCTCCTGTGGAGTGGCTGGTGGATGTGAACTGTGCACTTTGAGGATTTAACCCAGCGAGTAAGCACTACACCACCAGGGCTCTCTGGAAGCGACCTGGCTGTGGACGTAGCAAACACCATAGGAAACCACCAGGATCGTCCAGACTCAGGAGGTGGGAAACGAGACTTTTTCATAAAGGAGCAGATAGAACATGTGTGAACATGGCATGAGCTCCAGTGGCATAGCGGTTAGGTGTGGGGCTGCTAATCCGTAGGTCAGCAGTTCGAAACCACCAGCTGGCGTTCTGCAAGAGAAGCATAGGGCTTTCTCCTCCAAACTTAGTCTCAGGAAGCCATAGGGGCAACTACCCTGTGGGTTCGGCGGAGTCAACTCAATGGCAGTGCGTTTGTTTGCATTTTGGTGGACACGGTAGCAGGGATTACTCATGCAGAACCATGGATTCCAGTTTGCTCTCGGCTGATAAAGGTCGATGTCTCAGTGTCCTCACCTCTCTTCCAGCGTCTCCATCTCCTCCTCTTAGCCTTAGATGTAAAGTGGCCAAGGTCTGCACCACATCAGAACTCGGTGGAGCTGCTAAGTGGCAGCTCCTTGGGTTACAGTGTCTTGATTCAGAGAGCAGTGACAGAGTGAGACCCCATCTGCCCTCCCTCACATATAACAGACAGCTGCAAGGCAGCACAGGAGCACGGCAGTAGATGCTTCTGTTTAAAAGGGGAGGTGCGAGAGGCACAGATCACTAACTGGTGCGTGCAGTTCTGAAGCCCCAGCTGGCACAAGCTGTCTAAGCCCCTTGTACGGGGAGAAGGGAGGGTTTCTTAATTGAGCCCAGTTTTTCTCTCTGCCAGCAGTACACATGCACCCAGGCACAGCGTGGTTCCCTGGCTCCACAGTTGCTGTGACCTTGGCCTCCTGTGCTGGGCGCTCCTTTTTACCCTGAAGCTCTGACCTCCGGTGCTCTATTCCGCTGAGTAGGGGTCTTGGCCTAAGTCAGCTAGCCTCCTAGAAGACCTTTTGATCTTGAACTTGGTGCCTTTTAAACCACAGTCTTGCTTGTGTCTGTAAGCCTGGGGTTTTCTTAATTGCTCAGGGGACATGTGTTGACCTCAGTGTTTTAGAGGTGATGGGGTGTGCACCCTGAATTCCCTCAGTCTAAAAAAGGAGAGAGATAAGAAAAGTGGAGAATTTGAGAGGGAGGGTTGCTTTGGCCAGATGGAACAACTGTGTGCAGTTGAGCTAACGGGGTTAGGTTGTGTGGGAGGCTTGGTCAAGCACAGGCCGGGGAGATAAAACCGAAGGTGGAGCTGGAGATTCCAATGTGAAAGCTGTTGTATACAGGATGATTTTAAGCAAACATCTCCCGTAAAAGTGGCTATTCATGAGCATCAACGGTGGGGGTGGGGGGCATCTTGAAAGGTGGGTCATACACTTCCATGCCATTGTCTAGGAGACGGTGTAGGGAACTCTCTAGGGCTTTGGGGGAGGGGAGTTTTGTTGTGAAGTTTTTCAGGGGGAGTCTCTAGGCAGGTTTGAGAAACACAGCTCTGAAACATTGGGCCTACATGAGAGGGCTTCAGAAAATTTGTGTGAAAATTCCGTTACCTTTTCTTTTTCCCAGAATCTGGGTAATGCCCCCTCACTTGTGGGAACTTTGAGGGAAGAAGAAACAGAAGCCATGGCAAAGGCCTTTCATCTAGAAGGAAGTAGGTGAGGCAGGAGAAAGACCGAGGAGCAGAGCCACCACTGCTAAGGGCGAGTGCCCAGCGCCCCCGGAAATGCCAGGCTGCAGCTTGGTGACCAGCCTGCTGTGGGAGCGCAGAGAGGACTGCAGTGGGCTGAGGCACAAGGGACTGGGGTGGGGGGGGAGACTTGGCCAGGCCCGCCCGATGGCTCTCAGGGACCCCTACTTCAAAGGATCTACAGAGGAAGGAGAGGCTGGAGGGATGGTCTTGGTCAAGGACGCTCGTGTTTTTGTTTTTTTATTTTTTTCTAACTGGAGAAACCTGAGAATGCTGCCACGTCAAGGGCGAAGAGCCAGCGGGAGGGATAAACTGAAGAAGCAGAGGGAGCAGAGGGATGGTAGGTGGTGCGGTGTCCTGCAGGAGAGAAGGAAGGATGGATTCAAAAGCCCCGTTCTTAGGGTTGACCTTGAAGAAAAAGAGGGGGGTCCTCCCTCGTCCTGGGAGGACAGAGGTAAGGGGAGGCTGTGGCTGCTGACAGTAGTGCCAGCTACTCACGCCTGGACTTTTTGTACTTCGTTTAGGGAACGAATGTTTCTTGTCTCCTCGCTCCCTAAAATCCTTTCCTTCTCGTGGCTTGTGCTGGAGATGGGAGGACGATGCAGATTCAGGCAGCCGTGTGCAGCTGAGTGGGGTACGAGGTGCCCACCAAGCACTCTCGGGGCATGTGGCCCAGACATACTTTGGAAGGTACTCACTTTGGAGTACTTTTGTTTGAAAATATTAACTTTGGTTTATAGTCAGATGAATAAGAAGATATTTTAGGGGCTTCCCCAAGCCTTAAGAAACCATTCCTCTTACTAAGCATTTAGAGCGCCTGACTGCTGTCCGATGATTATCTTGGCAAACTCAGGAATCAGGGACTGTTTTTTAAGCTCTGGTGTGTGCACATGCAGTCTTCAGGAGTACATTGTGAATAACAGCCATTTGACACCTAATTCCACAATTAAAGACCGGTTAGCAATTGGCTCAGAAAAAAAATTTAATGTACGTAACTATTAGTAACCCTGTTTATATGTTGAATCTGAATTTGAATCTCTCAGTTGCGAAGTTTAGTGCAGAACTTCAGGGGGAAATGAAGGTGAAAAGTTCTGTTTCGGGCACAATGGATGTTTGTTTTGCTTCCTGAACTCAGGGACTGTGGGTAAAAGTGTGGTACTGGTCACTCTGGGCAGTTTTTTAAAGTATCTCTTTCGTAGGTCAGCCTCCTTTCTTCTAGGGTGGGAGAGCTTGTGAGGTGGTCTCTATCATGCACCATGCCTTTGGTTCCCCTAGTAAGCCTACGGCCCATTTCTCATGAGGTACATGTACATATACAGTAGCCTGTCCAGCACACGTACTGAGTTCCTTTTCACGAGCGTGCTTGCTAGGTTTTGTGAGCCTGTTTACACTGTCCGCCTCCAGGGCTCACAGTGGTGCTGGGCATCTACCTCTTGCGTGACTGTGCACATTGTTTTCATGGTGCCCATGGACACAGCACAGCAGGATCTGGGTTACAAGTGTGGTGCCTTGGGAAGTTCTTGATAGCCAGTTCTCAGTGTGTTTCCCACCTTGGAAAGCCAGTTAGTGGTGACCACTCGTCCATAGAGCTCATTTAACTCCTTGTTGTCGTCGTCGCCGACCCCAACACGGTGTAGGCAGCTCGGTTAACCGCTGCAGAGCTAAGGGTTTCATTCTTCCTCTTTGTTCCTTTTTTGCAGTTTCAGGTTCCCTGAGGATTAATAGCGTTGAGGGTTGGCCTGGGATCCTCTTGCTCAGAGGGCAGTGTTTCAGAGAGAACATGTGTTCTGTAGGGGTAAAAACGGCTTCTCCTGCTATGGGGTGCCATTGGGACAGGCTAGTGCTTCTCTGCGGGGTGTCATTGAAGTCTTCCCCCTGGCTTTCTTGTTGAGCCTTGACACAGCAAATCACACCCCAACTGTTTCTACCTGTTGCTGCGACATGTCAAGGTCAACTGGCAATAATGATTGAGTTCTTCTGGTTGAGCGACTGTTCCTACATCCTTTTGCCCTCCTGGAGTTGTTCCTTATACACTCTCCTCCCTCAGGTTCCTAGCTAGTCTTTCGAGTTGTTGATGTTAATTTGGTCCCAAATAGCCAATACTTAAGGAGCCCTGGTAAAGCTGTGGATAAGGCATTGGACCGCTAAACAAAAGGTTGGGTATTCAAACCCACCATCTGCTGTTCTGGAGGAACATGAGGCCGCCTGCTCCTGTAAAAATAGAGTCTTGGGCTGGGGATAAAAATGAGGAGCTGATGCAGGGCTTAGGTGGAGAGCAAATGTTTTGAGAATGATGAGGGTAAAGGACATACAAATGTGCTTTATACAATTGATGTATGCATGGATTGTGATAAGAGTTGTATGAGCCCCCAATAAAATGATCAGAATAAATATATAAAATACAAACCTTTCATCCCAGAATATATATATAGTCTTGGGAAGCCTTATGTAGGGTCTGTCAGAGGATGTCATGTGAGGACACGCGGAAGCAGTGGGTTGGGTTTGGTTTTAGATAGCTCTCAAAGAGCATAGTGCTCAAGGCGGATCTTTTTTTATTCTTTTGGTTACACTTCTATTTTGGTTTATTATTTTAGGGCAGTTCTTTGAGGGGTTCATCCAGCCGAGAGCCCGTGAGAACTTGAAATCCTTTTCTGCGTCTTCTCTTTTTGGGCCAGGATTCTGATATGGAATGTTTGGTTCAATTTTCAGTAATGGTAGCCTGGCACCATCCAGTTCTTCTGGTCTCATGTCAGGAGGCAGCTAGCCGTATGTTCTGTCTCCTCCTGCGGCTCCCGATTTTCCTCCTCCTCCCTCTGTCATTCCAGGGCAAAGAAACCAGTGTTGTATATTGGTGGCTGCGTGCAAGCTTTGAAGACCCTAGATACTACGCACAGAGTGAAGCAGGAGAACAGGCACTGGACACATTGTTAGGCTAGATCATTGGGATGTCCCATGAAACCAAAGCCCTGAACTTCCCATCCAAGGAACCAGGTCCTCGCAGTTGATCTTTCCCACCTCTCGTCATCATTGTATGTTTATCTGTCACATAGCTTTGCACAGGTGTACAACTTAACGGAAAGCAATCCCAACTGGCCCTGCAACTCTAGCCTTACTCGGACGATATCTCTGTCACTTCTAACACTCCCCCTCCACCCCCATTTCTCCTGCTCTTGGTAACCACTGAGACATCTTGGTCTCTGTACACTGGCCTTTCCTTGTCTTTCTGTATTAGGGAAGTTATAACTACTGCCCTCTTATGGTCGGCTTCCCGCAGCACCTATTTTCCAGTGTCGTCATACTGTAGTGTCTGTCTGCCAGGGCTTCGTTTCTGCACCACACCACACCACTGTTGACCGACGTGGGAGTTGTTGCTACCCTTTGTCTGTTGTGAGCAGTGCTGCAGGGACATTGGTGTACCAGACTCAGCATGGGTTTCTGCATTAGTGTTGGTGAGTGTGCATCTAGGAGTGGAAATGCTGGTCCTATGGTAGTTCTATTTTTAGTTTTATGAGAAACCGCCACAGTGTTTTCCCCAGTGGTCCTACTGTTTTGCATGCAATCAGCAGTGAACGGTCCAATTTCCCCGCATCCCTGCCATTACACACACACACACACACACACACACACACACACACACACGCACGCACGCACGCACGCACGTACAATCGTAGCAGGCCTAGTAGGCGTTCCCTGGTAGTTTATTGTGGTGAAGTAGAACAGGACGGACTGGCATAGTGGCTGCAACATGGGCTCAAGCAAAGCAATGCTTTGAAGATGGCGCAGGACTTTTGCACATAGTAGGGTCCCTATGAGTCAGCGCTGACGGGGGCCCAAATAACAAGCACCGTGGAGTTGATCCGCATCTGTCTGATGGCCAGTGTTGCTGAGCCATCTTCCGTGTGTTCGCTGGTCGCTGGAATGTCCTTTTCAGGGACATGTCTATTCAAGTGTGCTTATTAGGTTACTTGTCTCTGTTGTTGGAAGTTTTATATATCTTTTGGTTATTAAGTCCTTGTCCAATATATGATATCCAAAGATATTTTCTCAGTTTGTAGCTTGTCTTTCCATTTTTGGTAGTCTTGAGGTGAATAAAGCGTTTCTCTCTTTTTAAAAAATCATTTAAAATACAGCGTTTTTAATTTTAATGAGGTCCCATTTAGTGATTTTGACGTTTGCTGTTTGTGCTTCTGTTACTATATTAGATGGTCCGTTTTGAAAGCTAGGCTTGACAGTGTTGCCCTCGTCTTGCAAGCATTTTATGGTTTTAGTTTTCATCTTTAAGTCCTGAATCCATCCTCAATGTTGTGTGGGATGTGAGGCCAGGTTTCTGTTTCATTTGCCCATATGTGGAAAGTTAATATCAATCCCAGCACCATATATTGGAGAGACTCTTCTTTGCCCATGGAATTAATTTAGCACTGTTGGCAAAAACAGGTTGACCTTAGGTGTGGGTTTCTTACGGACTGTCTGTTCTGATCCCTTGGTCTCTGTGTCGTTGGTGTTTCAGTACCAGGCTGTTTTGATTACTGTAGCTGTATGCCAACAAACCAACTCACCCACTGCCATGGAGTCAGTTCTAACTCAGAGAGAGCTTATATAGGGTTTCCGAGACTGTAAATCCTTATGGGAGCAAGGTTCATCTTACTTCCAGAAAGCAGCTGGTGGGTTTGAACTACCGACCTTGTAGTTAGTGGCCTAGCACCTAACCCACAATGCCAGCAGTGCTCCTTCGTATATTTTAAGATTAGGACATGTGAGTCCTGTTATTTTACTTTGTTTATTTTTTCAGTATTGTTTTAGGTATTTGAAGCCTGCTTATAGTTTCATAGAAAGTTGAGATTTTTTTTCAATTTCTGTAAAGGAAGCTGTTGAAATTGGGGTGGTTTGGATTGAATCTATAAATTCCTAGGGTTGTGTTGACAACATGTTAATCCTTCAACTCTATACACATGGAACATCTTTCTGTTTATTTGAATCTCTAATCCTTTTCAGCATTGTTTGAAAGTTTTCATTATATAAATCCATTGTTCCCCTGGGTTTTATTTTTATTTTTTTATTCTAGAAACTAGATGCAATTGTTTGCCTAATTTCCCTGTCAGAATTCTCATGATGGTGTTCTGTTGGGTGGCTTTGGACACGGCCTCTCTGCTCTTCCTCTTTCACCTCTGCAAGTGTCTCGAGGGCTCTGGGATGTTGTGTGTTTCAGTCCGTGCCATCTGTGGACGGCACAGGCCCGGGCAGTGTTCTGCTCCGTTTGGCCTGGGGTTGCTGTGAGTGGAGACCCAATCCCAGGCACCTAACATAATAGCATCGTCTGTGAATAGCGATCATTGTACTTCTTCTTTTGCAATCTGTATACATTTTATTTCTTTTTCTCGTCCTACGTTGCTCTGTGAGCTCTAATACAATAGGGAGTAGAAGTGGTTAAAAACTGGTATCCTTACCTTGTTCCTGATGATAAGCGGAAAACTTGGCCTTCACTAAGCATATTGTTGGCTGTTAGCCTCTCTTGTGTGCCCCGAATCCATTTGAGGAATTTCCTTCCTATTCCAGGTTATGCTTTTCATCGCGAGTGTTGGCTTGGTTTTGCCACACGTTTTCTGGGTCCGTAGAACTGATTATGTGGTTCTTTTCCTTGGTCTGTTGATGTACTGAATCATGGTGATTGATTTTCTAATATCACCTGTGACTGAAACGCCTCTATATTCTTGGAATAAGTCTCACCTGATCATGACGGTTGATTCTTTCAAGGCGTTGTTGGGTTTAGCTTGCTGGCATTTTCCTGAAGATTTTTACACCTATATCCATAAAAGACATTGATCTGGAAAAGGCGGGTGGGGGTGGAGGTGGTGTGTGTGTGTCTTTATCTGCTTTGGGTTATGTTCTTTTCATGGAATGAAGTAGGGCGTGTTCTTTCTATGCAGTATCTTTCTCAGTTCTCCTCAAAGTGTTTGGAGAAGTTCCCCAGTGAAGCTGTCCATTTCGGGACTTTTCCCCCAGGCTGGCAGGTTTTTGGTCACTGACTCAGTCTCCTGTTTTAGGCCTGCTGAGGTTTTCCATTTCCTTTCCAGGTGGGCTGTGTGCTAAGAATCTGTCCCATTTTATGTAGGCCTGAGTCCTGAACTAAGGCACACATCAGACCTGGAAAGACGGGTTTGTAACTTTCGTAAGAAAACAAAGCTGAAAGCCCCACTCCATGAGTCATTCAGTGCCCCCTCTCTCTTCTCTTACAGAACCTCAAAGCGGACCCAGAAGAGCTTTTCACCAAATTGGAGAAAATTGGAAAGGGCTCTTTCGGGGAGGTGTTCAAAGGCATTGACAATCGGACTCAGAAAGTGGTCGCCATAAAAATCATTGACCTGGAAGAAGCCGAAGATGAAATAGAGGACATTCAGCAAGAGATCACCGTGCTGAGTCAGTGCGACAGCCCATACGTAACCAAGTACTATGGCTCCTACCTGAAGGTAAGGCTCACAGAGGTGCCCCTCCAGCGCGCGCGTGCGTGCGCAACCCTGGGCTGGGCTGTGAGCAGTTCACGAGAAGGACTTTCACAGCGGGCTCACGGGCAGGAAACAGCTTTGACCTTTGCAATCAGAAGAACCTGGCGCCGGCAGGTTTATCATTCTTAAATGTCACCTATAGAAATAGACTTTTGGTTAAAAAAAAAAAAAAGTGCTTGATGTTGAAATTCCCTTTTAAACAAGAAGTGTTTCTGAGTGAAAATTTGTCATAAAAATATACCTCTTAATTTATTGTAGCAGTAGCTGTTCACCTAATTCAGGATGATTTTTAAAAATTTATTTATTTTTAAAATTTAGGATAAGGTGACTAGTTTAAAGTGGGACACCACTGATCGGGGGCAGGCGGGGTGTTCTTGATTAAAAATGTGGTCAATATGGACCAAATAGGCCATTCCCTAGCTTGTCGAGCATTCTTTCCAAAAATCGGGACTTTTTTAAAACGCCAAAAATCAGGACTGTCCTGTCAAAAGTGGGACGTCTGGTCACCTTAATTTAGGATGATTTATGATTAGTTACGAGAGGGCCTGGTAGTACAGTGGTTAAGTGCTCTACTGCTGACGGGAAAGCGCGAGCCTTTCAGACGCGCCTCGGCTGCTGCTGTAAAGATTACAGCCGTGGGAACCCTGTGGGGCAGTGGGGCAGTGGGGCAGTGTCACTCTGGCCCACAGTGTCTCTGGAACTGACTGGGTTGGCAGTGGATTTGTGGGGCGTTTTTTTGGTGTGTGTGTGTGTGGGGGGAGGGGGGGTATGACTAATAATAAAAACGTAATGCCAATCAAAAGTATGCTGGTATTTGGAAATTTTGCGCAGTCATTTATGGCTCAATGCTGTGCTTAAAACTGCTGCCACTTGTTGACGATGCTGATTAGCTGACTGGTTTGTCTGCACTTGACCTTTAGGGATGCAAAATGAGTCAGTAGTTTCAGTACACTTAAAATCATAGCTATAATACAACCCTATGAATTCCCTTTAATCTCCACCAAGTTGTGTAAAAGGGAAAGATAGTAGAAATACTTCTCCCTCCTTTGGGGCAACCATTTTATTTTAGAGGGTATAGGGCAATCTTGTACTTCCAGGAAATCGTAAAATTATTCCTGTGTTTAGGTTCCTCAACACATGCCTATTTTACTGGACTTAACAAAGGTAGTGATCTTTCAAAATGGGAATTTAGGAATCTTAAGGATTTTTTAAAAGAAAGAATCTGGAGAAATTCTTACAGAAACCAAAACCTCATTGGTGTAACTGACTAGTTCCTGAGGGAATTGCCCAGACAAACCTGGGTGATGTGAGACTAGATCTATGCCTCTCCTCGGCTTTACTCTGTGTTGCAGTTTGGAACCTACTTTGACAAATGCCGATAAAGGAGTATTAGAGGTTTGGATGTGGTGGGTGTAGTAAGGCATACCTAGAAGGATGGAAATATTGAGAGCAATGAATCAGTCAAATGAAACTTGAAAGGAACCCAGATCCTCTATCTTTCAAGCATTTGGGCAGTACATAAGAAGGCAGGGTGATGTCTCAGTGGGTTGAACGTGCTTGTGTGGAGTGGAAAGAATGAGGGCTGGAGTCCAGCTCTGGCCAGGCTCAATCCTGTTACTCTCCTTTGTTGTGGAATTTTTTTTTTTAATTTCTTAAACTTCCACAAACTTTAGCTTCCTCATTTATTTGTAAAGTGGAAAATAAGGCTAGATACTTCATTACTTTAAGGATTACAATGGAATTAAGTAGGCAAAAGTACAGGACATATAATAACAACTTAGTAAGTGTTAAATTTGTTCCTTGATTTATTACATTTATTCATGTTTGATCTCCTAGATGACTTTCTAATAAAGGGCCTGTGTATAATAAGGTCAGCCAAGAAAATTGGATAGGAGCAGAGAAAGGAGGGGTAGCCAGCAGTAAGAATGATTGGTGCCGTAGCAGGGTGCTTAGTGTGGATCCTTATGGGACGAAAAAGGGAGCACCCTGCGTTCTCTGAGTCTCAGGATCCCCGAGGAGGCTCTAGCACCCACACGTGTGCACCCCACAGGGGTAGCAAAGAAGCATCAGAAGTGGTTTTTCAATACTTTTCTGAGAAAGGCAAATGATTGAGAAACCACCAGTGACACAGGAACCTCATATCGAGTGTATCCGTGGTGTCATATATTGTCTTCCGTGATAAGACTTTGGTACTAGTTCTGCCATTAACCTGTTGCTGTTAAGTGTCATTGAGTCAGTTCTGGCCCACAGGGACCTGTGTCCAACACCGCCCAGTCCTGCGCCACCCTCACACTTGTTCCTGTGCTTGAGCCACTGTTGCAGCCGCGGTGTCCGTCCATCTCCTTGAGCACCTTCCTCATTCTCACTGCCCTCTGCACTTGATGTCCTCCAGGGACATCACCGTAATAAACCTAGGCTTATTTTAATACGAATAATACACCATTGCACCTTCACAGAATAGGGGTGATGTGTGCCAGTTCTTATTTGGGGCACTAGTAGGTCTCACCTTCTATGTGGGTTCAGTTTTCAGCCAAGGCTCTCAAGGGTAGCCCCCACCTGCCGGTCCGTGAAGGCCTGTGTGTGACTGTAGAGCGGGGCTTCAGTCACCATCAGTATCATAAGCCCAAGGCCAGTTTTCTGAGGTGGAGCTTTTTCTAATGACTTTACCAGTTCAGACTCTAATAACCGTCCCTCCCATAACACTCCACTTGTCTACTGGCTCTGATCATTTGTTGTAGTCGCCAGATAGCATTCAGACAATTCTCGTGATGATGGGATTTATTAGGAAGTAACAGGTTGCAACTCAGGATCAGAAAAGACTCAGGATACAGTTCTTTCATCAGGACAGCCTCTTCTCAACTGTATCCGAAGGCAAGCCTCTTTTCTTAGCCCTTGCCTCGTAGCTTTAGGTTTCTCAGGCTGGTTGGTCTCGGGCTGCCCTGGTTTCTCAGGCTGGCCCTAGTGAAGCAGGTGTTACATAGTTTTCTAGTTCCACTGACGAGTGTCCAGAGCCAGTGTGCACGCAGCCAGCAAGTCTCCTGCCCACAGGCTGGCTCAGCTTTCTCCCACCGTGGGGTAGGAATATCCCCACCTCATCATTTGGTGGATGGTGCAAGACCATGGCATGGAAGGTGGTATAAAAGCAGTCCATAGCACTGTTGCCGCTGTGCTGCTTGACAGGTGTCAGCAGAGCTTCCAGACTGACAAACTAGGAAGAAAGGCATGACGAACTAACTACTTTAAGAAAATCATCACAAAAGCAGAACCTGTGGGCCGCAGTGGCACGATCCCTCCTTGTTCATTGGGTTGCCACGCCTGTGAAGGCCGGCAAGAATGCTGAACTGTGGAAATTAGGGTCAGTGGTTCGCAAGAATTTTCTTCAACTGCGGGCCCTGAGGTGTTTTCCACATTGTGCTGGAGCAGATGCCTTTGTTGTGCCCAAACAGGTTTACATCGAAGATATGATCGTGAGATTCCCGGGGTTCTGCCTATTCTGCTCCAGCCACCTTTTTGCCTGTGTCCGCCTTGGGCGCTTCAGTAGCTAACAGGAGCTGCTGCAGTAGCGCCTCCAGATTTACAATGATGGGAGATGAGTTCTTGCTCAGGAGCAGGGTGTTCCTGGCAGCTTCGCTCCATGCAGTGATGGGAGAACCCCATGCCTTCTGCCCTGTGGCTCCTTCATCTTTGCTGTGCTCATTTGCATAGCACCAGCAGGTTCCGGGAAAGTGTAGGATCCTGTCTGGGGAGTTTTTCTGTGCCCAGGCCTCGTTATGGCAACACTCAAACCAACCCATTGCCATTGAGTCAGCTCTGACTCCGCGTGACCACCAGGTAGGACAGAGTGGAGCAGCTTTCCTGTAGGGGTTCCAGGGTTGTGACCTCTGTGGCAGCCGACTGATGGCACGTGTAGAGTCTGATGGGTTTGAATCGACAGTCTTGAGGTTAGCAGCCACCCTGTGTCTTCCTAGATAAAAGTCCCCGCCATCGAGGCAGTCCTGACTCCCAGGGGACCCTATAGGCCGGTGTGGCACTGCCTCTTTGCGTTTCAGAGAGTACTTTACGGGAGTGGAAAACCTCGTCTTTCTCCCGTGGAACCTGGTATTTGGAACGACTGACCTTGCAGTTAGCAGCCCAATGTATAGGTAGTGAACTGTTTCTGCTCACACTATCCTGGCCAGCGCTTAGTCCCCTGGCAACACATAACTCGGGGGAGAGAGTGTCTCAATGGGAAGAGGAGATGGATGTGGTGCACAGCCCGCTGGCCTGGCCCATAGTCTCTTTGTAAAGGAACTGGAATGATTCGTGAATTGATTTTCTTCACTCACTGACTACCTTCAGGTGGGACGAAACTTGGGATAATTTTATCTTAGAGACTTGCTGTATTTTATTAGGCTGATTGCCCTTTAGGAAATAGAGCCGCCACAGCTATAACATCATCACTGCGACAATTTGCCCTTGGAGTCTGGAATAATGTCAAAGACTGTGTGGCTGAAAGCATAAGAAATTGCTCATGTATATATTATATCAGTTAACGATTGCAACGATTATAAATTGGATAGGCCAAGACTCCAGACCTGTCATTCTCTCTGTCATCTCTCACATAACACAATTTCATGGAATTCTGGGTGCAGAGGTGGATCCCCAGAAGAAAGTCTCCATCGACTTGGTAACTATGAAGTTCACGCAGCCTGGTCCTGGATTTCAGCCGTGGAAGCCCTCCCTGCGAGCCAGGTCTTCTCTGCGACACAGGGCTGCTATGAATCAGCCAACTCACTGGGAAGCACTGTCAAGTCTGATGCAAGTTACCCAGTAAGACAAGTGGGTCGTAGACAACGAAGTTGAAGGTACTTGTGTCTCCTTCCCCTGTGAAGGCACTCCCATAACGTGCAGACCTCCATCGTTGTCGTTCTTTAGTTGGTGGCTGGAGAAAGCCTCCTGTGCCCTGGGTTAGGGGGCTTCCACTT